ATAGTTACTGTAGGTGCTAATCCACATAGTGGTTGGGGGGGGGGGGATATGTTAAATGTTTGTGTCAAGACGTGCACTTCTAGAAAGAAGCATGAAACTTTGTCGTAGGATGTTTTTGAGTATGCCGAATCCAAAAATTGCGGGAACCACGACGTCACTACAATCGTTCCCGCCGAAAATTGGAAAAAATCGAAATGGCCGCTAAAAATCACAGTGGTGGTTTAATTGCTTTAAGTGCTTACATTACCATGATTTGGTGTCAATACCTATGTTCTTTAGTTCAAGGAATCCAATAAAACATTATTAAAATCATATATCAAGGAATCCAATAGAACATATATAAAACACCATAGCATACTTTATTAAATGTGACATTCAAAATGGTCGCTAAGAGAAAAAAAATGTTTGCTATTTATTAAAACGACTGCGAATGCTCTGAGTACCGTGTCAATACCTAAGTTTTTTAGGTCAATGAAACCAACAATAAACAATGAAGAGGGTTAAAAACAGTACCTTAAGGCGAAAAGAGTGTCACTAAGGGGAAACTTAAACGACGTTAGGGCGAAACCATAGACAAAAGAGTTTCCGCTTAAGAGGCGAATAAAGGAAATGTATATATATTAAATATATATATATATATATTTGAAGATTAAGATTCCATATATATAGTCTATATTGCTATGCAGCACCACCATAGATTTTGATTACTAATTTACATGCATAATTTAATTTCAATTCAATTCAATTTTAAACGCTTTCAAATTCATCAATTCATATATATATATATATATTATATATATTATATGCAACTATTTGTTTCTAGCCGTACCTAATTGTGTAATGAATGAATGTAATGGTGGTATTTGAATCTGTTCAACCATGAAGCCTCCGTGGTTATGACGCTCGCCTTGACAGCGAGAGGTCGCAGGTTCGAGTCCCGCCAGAAGCATTTTATTTACAGGACTACATTCGGTGAGAGCTATGCTACACGATGTATTATTATGTCCTTCATTCGAACACTGTATTTACCTTTCTTTGATGATTTACCGTATGTATAATTTAACAGTGTTAACGGCTTTCTTGATTTATATTATATGCAATTATTTGTTTCTAGCCGTACCTATTTTGTAATGGAGTGTATCTGGTGGTATTTGAATCTGATCAACCATGACGCCTCCGTGGTCTAATGGTTACGACGCTCGCCTTGACAGTGAGAAGTCGCAGGTTCCAGTCCCGCCAGAAGAATTTTA